ATATAAAATAAAAATATAAAACAATATATTTGTTTTTTTATTTTTATTTTGTTTTTAGGGCCAGTTATGTTTGATTGAAATCATTATTCTAGCCCAATCTCAACATGCCACATTGCCACTCACACACTTAGGTCCTCTCTATCTTTTCCTTGGACCAAAATTCACACTTGTAGGGCACATCAAAATATGAGTGGGGTCATAGTGTAAATTAGATTGAAATATTCATGCAGTTTTCAAATCTTAAGGGTGCATCTACCCACTCTTAGATCAATGTAGCTTCACTAATGTCAAAGATGAACCTTAGCTCAGTCCTCATCATTCTCTCTCAATTGGACATCTAAAATCTCTTCTAAAATGAAAAACCAATCGTGTTTCTATGATATTTAAAATTTGATAATGAGTAACATCATTAAGGTACATTAACTTGGGCTCAAAATGGCCCAACACCAAGGTACTGAAAATCAAACCAGTCATTGAATCGGTCAAGCCAATGGATTACGAGTTAATGGTTCAATTTAGGTTGAATCGAGGGTTAACTCGGAGAGCAAATTAATTATAATTAAAATAATATAATTTAAATAAAAAGACATTAATTATGAAAAATATTCAACCAAATCCAAAATTAATCTCTAATATAATATATAAATACAACAATAATTATAAAATTACAATTACCCAAATGTCTAACAATAATAAAATACAATTTTCTAAATATTTATTCTTATAATTACAATTTACAATCCTTCAATCATTAAAAAGTCCAAAACTAATAATCAGTAACACTAAAATCATCAATAATGATAGTCATAATTCATAAATGCTAAGCAACAATCAGACGAATAAACAATAGCAAATAATAAAAGGTTAAAACAATTAAGGCATAATTAATTTAGAAGAATACTGAATCTGTTAAGTTCAAACTTACAATTAAGACCCTCTATTTAAAGTTTAAACTACAGACAGTGAAATCTAATTTAATTTCCTTACCCTCCATTTCCTCGCTTTTTTAATTTTCAAGTTGAATTTTTTTACTTTTTATTTAGTTTTTACAATTTCAAAAAAATAAAAACAAAAAAAAGGTGACCTGGCTAACCCAACAACTCGACTAGTAGGTTATCCTAGGTTGACCCCAAGTTAGCCGGGTCACACCGGGTTAGTAGCTGGTCGGTTTAGGTAGAAACTTAAATCGAAAAAGAGATTGGGTCACCAGTTCACAAGCTGAACTGACCAGTCCAGTCCAGGTTTTTATACAATGCCTAACACCATCTCTAACCCTTTTCTAAGCTTTCTAAAGGGTCCAATAAGCCTAAATGTCTACTCCAACCCTATAATTAATTCCTAATCACTCAGGTTAACTAATTAAATATCTTAATTAATTAATTAATTAATTAATCTGACCCTTGAATTAAAATTTAGGATGTTACATTTTACGTGGATAATAAATAACATTTGCATCATGTTATTTATATATAACTTAGGGACTTAATTCATATTAATTTCTTTTATAAGTACTTCTTTGTAATTTTATGAGTCTTTTTCTATAACTTTTGATGTCCTTTCTACTGATTTTCAATACCCTTTAGCCCTAAGTAAAATAACTTATACTATTTTAATAATTGTTGTGAGTCTCATGTCAAAGAGCCTTATAAGTGAAATGTGGTTTACAAGTTTAAAAGGTCTTTCACCCAATAAGCTAATTTTTAAGGATGAGTATTCCCTTTGATTGGACCTACGCTCATAATTAGCATTAGGTCTTTTATTGTGAGACTATAGCCTATTGACCAACAAGAGATTAAGTGAAGTGCTATGACATGAAGCGGTCATAAATGTCAGCTTTCAAATGGGGTGGTGGCATTTTTATGGATCTTATATCAAGGAGATTTACAAGTGAAGTGTTTGGCGCCATGTTTTATAAGTTCAAAAGAATTCTCTTGAAACTGTGGAGAAATTTGAAATAGTACAATATATTTTAATATTATGATTTTCTACATATTTTTTAATATTATAAATAGTCTAGAATTTTTAAAATAAAATGTGGGCAATTTAGTCAAAATATTTTTCTTTCTCCTCCCCTCTCCAAAAAACCACAATTTTTGAGGGAAGGATCTTTCCTCTAACTAGTAAACCAAACAAGAGCTCCCTTCCCCTCCCCTTCCTTCCATTTGTTTAAAAAAATTTATATACCTAGTTTTATATACTTATAGTATTTATTTTCAATTAAATTAAGACACATTTATCATTTATAAATTATTTATTTTATAATAAATTTTTGTTATTAATGTTATGCAATTTACCCTGTAAAAAATTTAAGAACTTTTTTGCAATTTAGCCTATAATTTAATGGACTGCTTCAACAAAAAAAAAAAAGAAAAGAAAAAAGAAAAAATCTACGACTCTCTTGCACGTGGTATACCGTGAGGGCCATGGTTTTTAATTCCTTTCATACATGATTAGTTATTAGAAGCCTCTTCCATTATAGAGTACAAGACATTTTTAATTAGTTTTAACTGTTAATCAAAATATTTAACATTATTAAACACTAGCTATTTTTTCATTCTTATCCTTATCTAATAGAATAACTTATTCACAAATTAATATAAAAATATCATTGATTTTAAATATTGATGAAGGATATTTTTAAGAAATTATTGATTACTCATAAAAAAATTAAAATGCCTCATATTTTTTAATATAATTTCTTTCTAAAAATGAGTAAACTTTTGATTATGGAGGGAGCGTTAATGTTGAAAAAAAAGAACAGAACAAAGGAAAGAAATAAAATTAGAGAGATTCTTGGATGGATTTAGTACACCATATTATTTATAGTCCATCTAATAAAAGTATAATATTCATATGATATTAAATATAAAGTAATTCTGACATTAATTATAAGAGAAAGAAAAGATAAAAAATTAAATAAGAATTATATTATAAAAATAAAATTATTTTAAATAATAACACATAATATTTTATTTAATTAAATGGGTACAATTTCGTTGAAAAAATTATAAATGATGTAGTGCATGGGTTTCTCACAAAGCTAAAGTAAAACGAGTACAAAAGAACGGATGATAATGTATTTATTACAAAATATTAAGGCATTAAGGATGAAGCTGTATTTAATGCCTTAAATTTTATATTAATTTTCATAAATTACTATAAAATATTTAAAATAAATATTTTTCAATTTTTTATATTTTCTTTATCCACAATTTTAAGGGTGATTCTATGTGTTAAAATATAAAATACTTTAATAAAAATAAATTTTTATCAAATAATTTTTTTAATATTATCCTTCACTCTTTATTATTTTCTCTCTCAAATCCTTCAAGGTTACATTAACTGAATTTTTTTTAAAATTGATATTTTATAATTTTAAAAAAATAAAATTATAAAATGCATTTAATAAACCCTACCGATATATATAATTTTATCTAAATGTACTGTGGAAGTAAGATAATATAGATTTAATGGGTAAAATATTACAAATCTAATAATCTTCTCTACATACCGCACTATTAGAGTGCTTTTGATAAAGAATTGGAAATAGGGGTGTTTAATTTGAACTCGTTCCGATTGCCCGGTATCATTTCGATCATATCGGGACGGGTCTTGTCTCGATCCGAAAATAATCGGGACGGAACTTTACGGAACGGGACAGGAAAGGGGTTCGGGACGGGACAAGACACGGGATTACCATCGGGACGTCCCGTCCCGTCCCGTCCCGAATATTATATATATTATTTTTTATTTTAAATATATTAATTATATTAATATAATTTATACTTATATTAATTATATCAATTATAATTTTAATACTTACAATTCTTATTTAAAATTAAAGTGTTTTTATATTGATAATTTTAATGACATGGAGTAAACATGGCGATATCTTTTTTATAATATATTAATTATATTAATATAATTTATTCTTATATCTATCTATTTAATAACTTTTATTTATAACATATTTCTTGCTTATTTTTAGAAAAGTAATTAGCTTAGTATATTTTCACTAAAGTAGAAGAATAATTATTTGATATTGTATTTAACTTGTCTGTTGTTGCTAATCTTATAGCATAAAGATCACTTATATTTTTTATTATAATATGTAGTTGTGATTAATATAATTTAATAATTGATTTTAAATTATTGCTATTTATGTACTTGTATTTTTTTAATTTTAAACTTAATAAATTATATAATTTAAAATTTTAATGAACATTATTATCCAGATTTTTTTTCGATATTATTTCATTTAAAAATCTTGTCCCGGTCCTGTCCCGACTCTTAACAGGACGGGATAACTTTCGGGACTGGACGGGACACGGGACGGGGGTGTCCCGGTCCCATCCCGTCCCGTGAACACTCCTAATTGAAAATTGAGATGGGAGAATTTTAATATAACGCTCTTACAACACTTATTTCAATTTAAAGCCTTTTGATTTTTGAAATTACATTATAATTTAGGAGTATTGATTTAATATTAAATTTTTTTAAAAAATAATAAAATTATATTTCATTTAAATTAATATCAAAATTATCATACTTCACTTATTAATTGCACTATTTACTTGTTCATTTTCTTAAAATAAAATTAATAAAAATATGACAATAAATAAGTGAAATAGGACAATAAATAATAATTCGTTTGTAAATGAACAATATATAATATAAAAATCATATCTGACTTAAAATGATTTAAATATATAAAATAAAAATAAATTAAATAAGGTAATGAGTAATATTTCTTAAATAAATTAATAAATGAAGTATAAAAATTTTGATATTAATTTTTATAAATTTAATATTAAATCATCTATAATAATGTAATTTTAAAAATTGAAAGATTTTTAAATTTAAACAACCGAGGTCAACAGTGCTTTATTAAAATTCTCTCAATTAAAATTGACCCATGCTGCTATTTTGCACAACGTGGATCCATTAATCTTCAGGATACGACAAACAACCCAATGAATGAAAGTAGCAGAAAGTGATCCATTCCCAACAATCTCTCCTGTTATGGAAACATAGCTTCGTCCTCAACGCTGATTGCTGCGCCCAGCGCTCTTGCCTCCCACTTTCTGCGAAACATTTTGAATTCTTAGACGGCCGACACGCTTCGTTAACCCATTTCACCTCTTCCACACCCACTCACGTTCCCCTCCCTGCAATTATATCACCCCTCATTGATTTCCCCACCCCTAACGTTTCTTTCCCTCCCTCGGTCCCTCTCTTCCTTACGCAGATCCCTGCAAAACCACTTCCCCTCTCCTTCTCTCTCTCTCTCTCCACCCCAAAAATGATGAACATTTGACTTGATATCTCTCACAAGTCACACCCTGAGCCTCGAACTCTTCGCCAACCCCATGCATGATCAACGCCTCTCTCTGGGCTTTCCTCTTTTCACTCACACCATTACCACCTGATCTCACTTTTCTCACCTACAACTGCCAGAGATGGAACTTCTTGTTGTCAGTCGTTTATCATTTTTACTAGTAGTACTATTTTCTTCTCTACTGTGCTTGTGTCATTTCTCATGGCAGGCTTCTTTAGTGGGTGATTCTGAGATTCTTCTGCGGGTTAAGACTACTCAGATCGTTGATGAGAATGGCAGCCTCAAAAATTGGGACCGAGGCCTCCATTCCTGCAACTGGACTGGCATTACCTGTGATGACCTCAATCGCTACATTGTCGCCATTGACATCTCTAGCACTGGCATTTATGGTGGATTCCCGTTTGGCTTTTGTCGTATTCGGACCCTGCGACGGCTTTCTGTTGCGCAGAATTATCTTGGTGGCGTTGTCTCTCCTCAATCTCTCCTTCTCTGTTCTCACCTTCTTGTCTTGAACCTCTCTGATAACTTATTTGTCGGCGAGTTGCCGGAATTCTTGTCGGAGTTCTCTGAACTGATACGGCTTGATTTCTCGCGTAACAACTTTACAGGCGATATTCCGGCTAGTTTTGGTCGGCTACCACGTCTCAGGGTGCTCAGTTTGTCCTCGAACCTGCTCAACGGAACCGTTCCCCCGTTCTTGGGCAATCTCAGTGAGTTAACCCGATTGGAACTCGCTTATAATCCGTTCAGGCCAGGACCTTTACCCTCCCAACTTGGAAATTTATCGAACCTCGAAGTTATGTTCCTTGCGGGTTCAAATGTCGAAGGGAGTATACCGGACTCGATAGGGAAGCTGGTCTCACTCAAGAACTTGGACTTGTCACAGAATTTCTTGTCAGGTAAGATTCCAGATAGCATTTCGGGTTTGACAAGTGCGGAACAAATTGTCCTATTTCAAAACCAATTGTCAGGGGAAATTCCTAGAGGTTTCGGAAACCTTACCAGTTTGATTAGTTTAGACCTCTCTCAAAACAATCTCTCAGGGAAATTGCCGGATTCACTCTCTGCCTTGCATCTCCATTTTCTATCCTTGAACGACAATTTCCTCGAAGGAGAAATCCCAGTGAATGTAGCTAAAAATCCAAATTTGCTGACACTAAAACTCTTCAATAACAGCTTTACTGGGAAATTACCGGAAGATCTCGGTCGAAACTCTGATTTACAGGAGCTTGATGTTTCTACCAATGACTTTGTAGGCGAGTTGCCTAAGTACCTCTGCGAAAGGAACAAGTTGCGGCGCCTTGTCACATTCCGGAATCGCTTTTCCGAATCTCTCCCTGAGCAGTATGGTGACTGTCATTCACTCGACTATGTTAGAATCCAGCACAACCAGCTCTCTGGTGAGGTGCCTCCACAATTCTGGAAACTTCCTGGCCTTGAATTTCTACAAATGAATAACAACTTGTTCGAAGGTTCAGTCTCCATCTCTGGCGCTCAGAGACTCTCCGTACTGCGTGTATCCGATAACAGGTTTTCTGGACATTTCTCGGCGGAAATTTGTGAACTCCACGATATTAACGAAATTGACGTCGGCCGAAACCGGTTTACCGGTGATGTTCCGTCATGTGTAACTGGATTAAACAAGTTACAGAAGCTCAGCGTGCAGGAGAACATGTTCACCGGCCCGATTCCTCGTAACGTGAATTCCTGGACTGACTTGACCCTATTGAACTTGTCGTATAACCAATTCTCAGGTACGATCCCACCAGAGCTTGGTAATTTGCCAGATTTGATTTCTCTTGATCTCGCCATGAATTTCCTGACTGGGGGAATTCCGCCTGAGTTAGCAAAACTCAAGCTCAGCCAGTTCAACGTGTCAGGAAACAAATTGTCCGGAAATGTGCCTTCAGGGTTCAACAATGAATTCTATTTGCCGGGTCTTGTCGGTAATCCGAACCTCTGCAGCGAAGTCACGAAATTCCTTCATCCTTGTTCAAAATCTAGACACTTATCTTCGATAGCTATTATTGTGTTATCTACCTTCGTTGTACTCCTCCTTGGGTTTCTCCTCTTGTTCCTTAAGCGCAAGAAGTCACTATTTTCAACTGGCAAATCCAAGCGCTCTTTTAAGACAACGACATTCCATATGGTGGGCTTTAAGGAAGAAGATGTTGTTCCATTGTTAACCAGCGAGAATCTCATTGGCACAGGGAGTTCGGGCCAGGTCTATAGGGTGAAGCTCAAGACCGGAGAGATAGTTGCTGTGAAGAAGCTGTGGGAAGGACGAGTAGGAAAACTGAATACAGATTCTGTTTTCAAATCGGAGATTGAGACACTCGGCCGAATTCGGCATGTTAATATAGTAAAATTACTATATAGTTGCAGTGCTGACGATTTCCAGATTCTAGTGTATGAGTATTTGGAGAACGGCAGCTTGAGTGACGTTTTGCACGGTGAGAAATGCAGGGAGTTGATGGATTGGTCCAGGCGGTTCAACATAGCAGTAGGTGCTGCTCAGGGACTGGCTTATTTACATGACGACTGTGTGCCGCCTATAGTTCACAGGGACGTCAAGAGTAGTAACATATTGCTGGATCATGATTTCAAAGCTCGCGTTGCGGACTTTGGGTTGGCTAAGATCTTGCGGTCAAAGGCAAACAAAGATGGTGGTGTGACTACATCCAGAGTGGCTGGTTCCTATGGTTACATTGCTCCAGGTCTGTTTGCGTATTTGTCTATTCTTCGAACCTTTCGGGTTTTATACTTTGATCGTATGATAATTTTGATGGGGTATTATATATCATGCAGAATATGCTTACACACTTAAAGTGACTGAGAAAAGCGATGTGTATAGCTATGGTGTGGTGCTGATGGAATTGATCACAGGCAAGAGGCCAAATGACCCATCCTTTGGTGAGAACAAGGATATAGTGAAGTGGCTCACCGAGACGGCTTTGTCAACTAATTCTCCAAGAGGGAGTGGCAATAAAGAATGTCGCCGCGGTTACCTGGTCCAGATCGTTGACCCTAGATTGAATCCCTCCACGTGTGATTATGAAGAGATTGAGAAGGTTTTGAATGTGGCTCTGCTTTGCACCTCAACGTTCCCCATTAGTAGACCCTCAATGAGAAGGGTGGTCGACTTGCTCAAGGAATATAAGACTCGTCCCAAGCCATGATGATGATCATTGATGGCTTTGAGCATCCCGTGACTTGCCATTACTTGACCCAATCTCCAATCCACAAGGATAATCAGTAGTGGCTTCAACCTTCAAGCAATTCTTATAAAACAAGTCCCTGACTTTTATCTTTTTGTTGATCTGTTTTTGGTAAAATGTGGAAACAGAGGGAAAGGTCCCTAGGCTAGGAAGCATGCTTAGTTTAATTTTTGTATGAACGAATCACTTGCTGGATAGTTGGTTCTGTCAATTATATTAATGAGGTACAAAATTATCTACTGATGTATAGGACCAGGTTTAAAATTGTCATTCGCAATCGGCCAAAACTTGTAAATTCTTGCTTATTCAGGACAGCTACTAAAAGATTGGGAGGGCAGTTTCCTAAATGAGGCTGTTTAGAAATTTAAATTTTCTATGATTCTGTGATCACAAAAGATTGTAAATAATATATTTGGAGAGCTGGCCAAAAGAGTAATCATATATTTGGGTTAGTGTATAAACAATTCAATTTTGTTGGCCAAGGGACCAGAACGAGATGAGAAAATTTTTGATTCATTGTTGGACTATCACTACGAGTACGTACCCACAAAATAAAATTGGATTTGCTCTTGTTCAAGCAGAAAACGAATTCACTTTTCTTTCTACTGTTGAGGAATGCTTGACTTAGAAGCAATGTTAACACTATCAGTTGCATAGCTGTGGAGCTTATGATGATCGCTGTGAAGTTGGAGGTGGCATTTTCACTTTATCATGTTAAAAAGCCACCCTATTTCTTACCTTAAACAATGAAGTGTCATCGTATTATGGAAGAAGTTTATTTGAGGTACTCACGAAATTTCAAAAGCCACAGAAGAACTCATGAAATTACTACCAGCAGTTGGCCTTTAGCTTCATTGTCATGTTAGATTTAGAAGTACCACCCACCAGGCCCTCATCATTAGAGCCGGTAATTCAGGTCAAGCTCGACGGGCTAACTCGAATTGGCCCGAAAAATTTTAGGACCGAGCTTAAAAAAAAGTGTTTTTTTATGTTCGGGCCTATTCGGGCCAAGCCCGATCCGGTTCGGGTTTGGCCCGAATACCTGAATAAAAAAATTATATTTTTAAAAAATATATATAATATAATAAATATTAATTAATTCTTTAAGTTTTAGATCATTTTATATTAAAATACCATATATTTGAGTCCTAGACATTATTTAAGTATTAAAAAAATATATTTTATATTTTTTATAAAATAAAATAATTAATTTTAAAGTAAAAAAATAATTAAAAATAATTTTAAAAATTAAATTCGAGTATTCGGGCCGCCCAAAGCCCGAAGGAATTCGAACCGGGCTTGATTATTCGGGCTTTTTGAAGAGTCGGACCTGTTCGGGTCGAGCCCGAATAAGCTCAGCCCGCCCGAATTTCCGGCTCTACTCATCATTTGGAAATGACAAGGGGGCATAGGTTTCGCCTATTATTATTTTATAGATTTTATATTTTATAAAAATAGTAAAATAAGGAAAAGCTCAAAAGCATATAAAAAATTTCGCAAAAATTTGTGGATATAATTTTAGAGAATTTGTTTCCGAATTATATATCTATACCATCTATAATAAAATTTCAAAATTTTAAATTTTAGAGAAGTTAATGGTTACGGCATTTCAAATTAAATTAAATAACCCAAAGATGAATGAACGGTTAATAAAGAATCAAGGAATAAGGTTTGGTTATTTTTTAAAATTACAATTGAAGTTTGAAACTCTACTGCAACTCTCTAACTAGATTTTATGCCCTGTACAATGTACAGGTATATTAATCCTCATTTTTTATTTAAAGTAAATAAAAAGGAAAGATAATATTTTTAATGAGTTCCTTTTTAAAAAAATAGATAAATATGTTATAAAATTTTATTTGAGAGATATAAAAGAAAAAAAATCAATTAAAAACTTATAATCACAATTCTCCATTTTTTTAAATTGAGATCACCAAAATTTAAAATCCCACCTCCCAATCTTTTTCTTTGATCCAAACAAATCATAAAAATTAATAGAAGTTAGATTATGAATAAATATTAATTTGATAATTTTATAAAAATAATAGTTTATAGAAAGTGTAAAATAAAATTGTATATGTGGTTATAGATAAATAATTATAATAGTAAAAATTAACTATATTTTTTTCATTTCCCTGGTACATTTGATTAAAAAATATAAATAAAAAATAAGGGTCTGTTTAGCAACTTGTTTTAGGAGTAATTTTTTTTTTCAGAATAAAAAAATAAAAAATTTATTTGATAACATGTTTTCAAAAACTATTTTGAAAAAAAAATATTTTTCTGAAAAATAGAAAAATAGAAACATCTTTTAGGTGCTCTTTGTAACATCCCAATTCAAATTTTAATAGTTAATTTGGGTTAATAAAAATTTTGAAAAAATATTTAGAGGTAATTAAATTAGTAGAAAATGATTATTAAATCTAATTTAGGATATAATTCTAAATTAAAATAAAAAAATTTAAAAAAATAATTAATTAAAAAAATAAATAAATAAAATATTATTAAATTATTATTATTATTAAAAAGAAAGAAAGAGAAAAGGTATGAGAAAGAGAAAGGAAAGAAGGAAGAAAATGTGAACGCTTTCGGTGCAATTATTGTATATTATAATAATATAAAAAAAAGGGAGAGAGAGAAAAGAAGAAATAATAATAAAAAAATGTGTGGAACCCACTGAATTTTTATAAAAACTCACTTGTTCCTTCATTTCTTCATTCCTTCTTTCATGCGTGAGCTGAGGCAGAGAGAGCATCGTGAGCCAAGTTCATCGGTGCTGGATTTTAATGTAAGAGTTTTTAATAGGATATTTAGGGTGTGATTTTAAGTTTTTCAAGACTAAGTAAGTGTTCTAAAATTTTTTCTTAGTCATCCTTCTTCTTTGGTTTCTGAGTTTGTAGTGGTAGAAAATTTAAGATCTGAAAGATGGATGAATTTATGTTGAATAAATATAATTTTTGAGGTTGTCAGTAGTATAATAAATGTTCTAGAGTATAAATTTATTGATGATCTTTGAATCTGTGGCTTATGGATCAAATTCTAAACTAGATCTAAAAATATATGTTGATTTATTGAGGTTTAGATGATTATTTGGGATGAGAAATGAATTATTATGGTTATAGGATTATGATTCTAAGCTAGAGACTCATTTTTTAATTTTTGGGTATTTTAGGTACGAATTTATGAAATAAAAAGAAAATTTTGATAATAGAAATTAGTTTAGAAGTTGATTTTTAGATTATTAATGTTTATTGATAATTAAAAGAGGAGTTAAAAATTTTACTTAATAGTATTAATTATAGATTTGTATTAAGATTGAGATTAGGAATTATGTTATATTTTTAATTCTATTATTAGAATTATTTTATCAGTTTCAAAAATTGAAACTAATATTTATAAATAATATGTTATTTGTAGATTGTATTACTGGTAAAGATTGTGGTGAGAGCGAAATTTTAAAGAATAATTTATTGAAAAAAAGCCACAAGGTAACCATGCTTTTAATTTGTGATTAGTGTTACTTCATGTTAATTGGATGATTATTGAGAAAATTATGAATTTTGTAATATTGTATAATTGTGCAATATTATTATGAATTTGTTTAATTATTGTGGAGGTGTTGGGAGACTTGTTATTATTATTGTATTTATGTGCCACGTGATACGCCCCTATTAGAGCTTAATAGGTGGCTTGTAAGGACTCGGGTTAATCTACCTTTGGCCGGGTAATTTAGCACTGAGTGAGGGTTACGGCTCGAGGTTAATGGAGGGATATAAGGATGGTTGTTTGTGTTTATTGTAATATTTCTTATATTTGTTGGAATTATATTATTTTTAATTCTCACTTAGTAAGCATACACTTAACTGTTTGTATACACTATCATAAATTGGCTTTGGTTACTGGGACTTTTGAGTCTCATTATATGGTTAACAATTTTCAGGAGAAGAGCCACGAGTGACACGTGGAGGAATCCCAAAGGCTTAGTGGTATAGATCCACTGTCTCTTTTGGGTATTTAATTTATGATTTATAATGTGTTATATTGCCAATATTAGGGCTTTTTGTTTATTGTCAATTATAAGAATATATAAATGTAATCATGTCTTTCAAACTATTTCTATTTTTGGTACAATTTGGATGACTGTAATTTTAATATTAGGTTTATTTTGAATTGATTAAAATGGCATGATTATAAGGTCAAATAACTGGCTTATGTTGAAAATTAATTAAATTGTTCATTTTACTTGTTGGGAGTATAAGGATGGACAAATGTGATTTAGCCTAATGGCATGTGGGAGGTAAAAATTTATCTGAAATGTTATAGTGTGTGAGTTGGAGCCAATTATAAAATATTTTATATTAAAATTATTGATATAAAAATGTGTTGGGTGGCTGTAACCCAACTATGGTTGAGTTAAATTATTTAAAAAAAAAATTTGGTGTGTTACACTCTTAGATTATTGTTTTAGAGAATAAGAGAGAATAAAAAAATACTTATTTTTATTTTTATTCTCAAAATATGTTTTACAAAACATCAATTTAAAAAAAATAAAACAAAAATAATTACAAACAGGCCCTAACGTGTTTTTTCATAAAATTTGTTATCCCATATATAATCAAATATAAACAATAATTTTAATCTATGAATTTTTATATCCATATAAATTAAAATTCTAAAACATATAATAATAATAAAAATTAAAACATATACGTTGTTTTAGAATATTTTTCTTTTCAATTGCATGAACATCTTATTTTATTTTAGTATTGGCTATATTTTCTCCATTAAAAAATATAAGGCATTTTTAATTGATTCTTGCCCCCTAATAAAATAGTTTCTTACTTTTAAACTAATCTTATCATTTCATATTTATCCTTATTAAACACTCTATAATAAATATAAAGTCATTATCAATAGTAGTACTTTTGAAAAAAAAGTTAATGATTACACATTGAAAGGCTATAAATGCCTTATATTTTTTAACATCTAATTACTCAAAAAATATCTTATATTTTTTAATGAAGGGAGTATACAACTAAAGAAGAATAAAAATTATTTTCTGTTGAAAAGGTATCCACGCTTAATGCTCGATTGTACCTCCAATAGAATTGCTTCTAATAGTAAAATACTTATTAGCAATAAAAAATACATAATAATTTGTTTTATTCTTACAAAAATTATTTTAAAATATGATATCATGTGCATATAAAAAACATTTTTTATATGTGATCTCCACATAAATTAAAATTTAAAAAATATATTCTAGTTAAAAAGTTATTACTTGTAAATATAAATAACCACTTATTTTATTTAAGAATTTCTTATACTTGTGCATGTAAAAAATAAA